AAGAAACATATAGTGCTTACCTGTAGCCACTAGAGCATTGAGGCTTGCTGAACATCTGTTAAGGTGTATCCTTTAAGCTGTAGTGAAATCACTTTCAGAGAAATGTTTGTTGCACAGAACTTTATTGTGCAGCATTCTAGCAGAATCAGTAGTACAGGACAACCCAACTCTTCCTGCCCATACCATAGCCCTGTAAGAGTATTACATATTGTCTCAAAACCTTGAAATAATTCATCAGTAAACATTACAAACATGGTGTAGGTGCTACATTACATCAAGTACTAAAACAGACGTTCATTCATTTATTTACTTTCCAGTAATCCTTATGNATAGACTTAACCTTTGGTACCTATCTTTCACATAGGATTTTATCAATGCACTGGCCTTACCAATTATTCCATAAAATTCTACTTTAGACAGAGAGATAGACAGACAGATATTGACACAGTCAAAAGTTTTCTTCAAATCACAGAAAATGCCAATGAACATTATTGGTATTGATGTTGTCCAGCTACTGTTCGAAAATAATTATTAAAAGAATCTGTAATCACATCATGATTATCAGTTAACTTCCCATCAATGTTTAAAAACTGTGTACCTGCATTATTAATTTTTCTACCTGTGTCTGATTTTATAATGCTCCAGGTGGTTTTCATTTTGTTACTAGAATTAGAAATTAATTGATTATAATGAAGACGTTTAGCTCCTTTAACAACACTGGCCAAAATATTACATTATGTTTTATAATAATATTTCAGATCTGGCTCATACCATGCTGAATCCATGGGAAAATTGAAGAATATCATTCCAGTTTCCTCAATGGAAGACATGCATCTTGGAGCAGAACACTTCTTTTTCCTTCCCATTTATACTGCAAGAAACACTACAAAAATTGTAACAGAATCACAGTACACTCTCACTTTCTTTAGATTCTGCGGTCCTTCTTTAGGCTACACCAAAAGATGCTTAAAATACAGAAATACGATTTGGATGAAGTATTGTAGTAACACTGACATCATGTTTGTTTCTAATTTCACTGGGCGTAGTAAGCATAATCCATATACATAAGTAACACACAGATGTAAATTCATGCGTAAATGTCAACTCTCGTTTCACAACATCAAATCAAAGTCGCTACTTACTAATTAATCTAATTAATTTGAGAACATACCTCAATGGCATACACATATCATCATTCACTATGCAGTCTTACTGAGACAACGCCCTAAACTGCCCTAAAGCTTCAACGGAAATTTAAGATCGGCACACGTTCAACCCATATTCCAGTATTTCGCTGGAGCAGCTAGAGAAAAAATATAATTCAAAACTTAAGTGAGGATAACCACATTTGGGCTAAGAATCCTATTACAAGACCTCCCAATATAAATTGGAAATCCTAACCATTGAACCATTCACTGCATGCATGTGTTTTTAAGTACCAAAAATATAAATATATGTTGAAGATCATGATAGCATGGGAAGGAATAAGAATGAAAATGGAATAAAAAAGAACAGACAATTCAATTACTTGAGGGAAGGTAAACACATATAACCATGTGAATATCACATACTGGATGAAAGTAGGCCCTTATCTATCAAAATTAATCCAAATGGTTTATAGAAAATCTTTATTTCATCAACACAAAGTATGTCTACTTTATATTATTTGAAGCGGATCTCTATCAGCTTGAGACAGCACAACCTCAACATTTCCACCACATAATTCTGTAGCTAGTTTGTCTGCAAATATTTTGAGATAACCCCTCTCTGTGTTGCTGTGGTCACAAAGTATTACATGGGTTCCCTTGTGTACAGCATCCAGAACATCATGATGCTGCATCTCGCCTGTCAGATAAAGATCAGCCTTCACATCCTTGAGAACTGATGACCCAGAACCAGCACAAACAGCAATAGTAGAGATCAGAGAACCTGAAAAAAAGAATAACTCTCAAAAAAGAAGAGTATAAAAAGCAACAGATGTATAAGTAGAATGCAGGGGTAAGAGAAATGTATACATTACACTCAGAAGAAAGAGAACACTTGGGAGACCTACATGTAGACAGGAAGACAATATTAATATGGATCTTAGAAAAAAGGGTGCAAAAGTGTCAAAATGGACTGTTCAGGATAGCATCCAATGGCAGCCTCTTGATGGTGCAGTAATAACTTTCATGCTGCATAACGAAAGGAATATCTAGACTAGAGAAGTGACCATCAATTATATAATTAAAATTCTTTCCTATTAAGTTTGCCTCCATCCTTATCATTTTTACGATCATCAGTATCAACAACTTAATGACTAGGCTCACATGGTCCCTTCTGTTTCATTGTCAGTCACCCTTCATTATCTGCCTACCTTTGTGTCTTGCCCCATACAAGTTTATGAACATACATAGTCTTGGATGACCTGTGACCTGCTATTTCATTTGAGATGATCTATCCATAGGTCTGCACTCTTAAAGTTCTCCTTTCAGAAAAAAAAAATCTTTAACAGCATACTGAGAATACGGGAAGGATAGGTGACAAAATTCCTGAACTTGCCTGATTTATAAACCACACGTAAGAACAGATGGTCTGACCAAATAAATTGAGCACAAACAGGCTGAAGTACCACTAATGTACAAGGATATAACAGTGTACTGAATATATGAAGAGAATAAATAGCAGATGACAGGCCATGCTACAGCTACAATAGCTGGTTGCCAGCTTCCCACCATGGGGGCCTGAGTTTGATACCAGATAAAACAGGATTTATGGTGGATGAAGTTGCATTGGGGTGGGTTTTCTGTAACTATTTTGGTTCCTCTTGCCAGTCTTCATTCCACAAACTGCTCCACATCATTAATCATCCTCTCTTCAATGCTATATGATCTAGATATTCACAGCACCATTAAATAACCAACTTACGAAGCATGTAAGGCAGAGGACAGAACCCTAAAAATTGCCAGGAATTAGGAAACACAAGGAAATGGGGACAGCAGTAGCCCAAAGGGTACATGGTTTTAGCAAATAAATGAAACCAGAATACACTGAGGAACTGCCTAATTCATGATAGTGGTATGTAAGATGATGGACTAAACACGTAGAGGGAATATCAGAATAGACAACTTATGTGAAATTAAAAATAATGAAGATGAAGAGATGGGGGTAAAGGGCAGCTTGCATGTAAGGCTGACAACCTCACCGCCATCTAGAAAATGTGGGAGCCTCAATGTCTCACAACCCTATGGGCCTCCATGGCCTGTTACAGGGATAGCTTTACCTTTTATCTATAGGCTGAACTACAGACTAACCCATGAAGGCAGTAAGAGAGATTAGAACATTTTGAGAGAATGACAGATGACTGAGTCCATAAATTTACTGATTTATCCTGATGATGGACACAAAATAAGTCACCAATATCTGACATCGCTGAATGCCTGAGAAGATTTTACTGCACTTATTTGCTGTGAAAACTTCAAATCTTACATGTCCTACAATTATAAACCATGATGAATAACAGCACAGTGTGAGATGGTAGACAAGCAGTTAAATTGAATGCAAGCCTCGTTATAGATTGAATATTTTAGAAAGTGTGCTCATATACAGGCTTAAGGAGTTAGTCTCACCCATATGTTTGTGTCTTGCCAATGCCAGTCTAACATTCTTTAAGTTCAGATGCTCCTTCACAAGTTCCACCACTTTCATTAATTGTAAAGGTACTTTAAGGCAACATAATCGCCCCATTCCAACACCATTCAGTGGACCCTGTAATGATAATATTAACAATAAGATTTAACATTATATATATACTAACACAGCGTGTGATCAAATAATTTCTAGACTGCATTTCTTTTCTCTGTAATAACCGCATTTACAATGTGTGCCCTTTCAAGTAGATCCCTTGCAACCTGATGGATGCAGAAAGTCCACTGACTACAGTATTGCTGGGATGCATTTGCAAGAATCCTGTATTTTTATCTTGGCAAGTATAGCTTGTGACAGTTCTTGAGTCATGTCATCAAATATCCTCTCCTTCAATGTCAACTTGAGTTCCAGATGGCATTATCACCTCTGTGCAGTATATAGTGTGTGCCACATCGCAGTAGGTTTCCTTCGCACATCTCTCTGTAGAAATGTTGCTCACAGTTTGTCCCTGTGGGATCCATTCATGATGCACAATTTCATAAATATCAGAAGATGGCATTAGCGTGCTCTTCAACCTAGAATTAACTTAGTGTATATATAAAGTGATAAATACACAACAGGACGCATTCCTTGAAGATTAGAATTAACTCGTATGACTTTATTTGGGCATGGAAGTGATGGGTTCTTCCACAGAGTAAGCTGCTGCTTTGTTTCAGGATTATATCCATAAATCAAAGTACTGTCACCTGTGGTGACAAGGCACAACAAATTTTGTGGCAAACTGTAGCATGTTCATATCTTGTGTCAAAATACTTTGGCATAATCCAAACAAGATTCTCACTTTACTAGCCAAGTCATAGACAGTGATGAAACTGTCTTCATAAATAAGTTCCTTGATTCACACCACATTTCAATTTGCTTTGCTTGTGGATGAACATCATGAATGTTTAGCATAGTTACCTGACATTAATTCACTTTCATATTTTGAAAATCAATGTAATGTTTTAGTTTCATTCACTTTTCTTCTCCACTAATAAGCGTAGTTTTTCCTAGTTTAAAGCATCATCAGATCTTCATGTGCTTTCTTTTAAATTGTCATTTTGTGATGAAACACAAACTCCAGACAGTGCAATGCCTGCCATTTCACAGGATGTTACTTCTGATTGATGCAAGCAAGCTATAACTTCAAAATGAATGACAAATTCTACTCCACCTCCACCTAGAAGAGGAGTTCTTTCCTAACTGCAGTAGTCATATTGTGACTAGTCCAGGAACTGAGTGATCACTCCATGTAAGTCCTTTACAAGCATACCAATTACCTGCTACCATATCTATACCTTATATTCTTGCAATAGTGCATAAAGCGTATTTACAGTATTACAAATTCAAATACATATATACAAACACATAAACTGTAACATACTACAAACAAATACATGATACAGAGGTACAGATATAAAACATGAAAGCTCACCATGAAACATGGACCCAAGGCATTTCACACCCTCAGAGTAATTTCCTTAACATATTTATATTATTCTACCATCTCCTTCTCTGTTTTCAAAGTGACCAATTCCTAAGAGTCTTCTCATTAAAATTCAGAATAAATCTTTTTATTAGAACCAAGCAACATGTCCAGCCCATCACAACCTCCCTGTTTTGACCATCGTAAATTGTGTTTTAGAATTCATTAAATCTTTACTATGCAATATTCTCTGTTCTTCACTTCAGATAGGCCCCCAAAACACAAAATGGTTATTTTCTCAAAAACATTTTCTAACAGTTTTGATTATCTTTCAGAAATGTATGGAAACCATATCCCTACCTAAAACTGCACACGTAGTATCTGCAAGAAAATAACTGTATGTATGCTGAGGGCAGAGCTGGGATAGCATAGTCAGTATAGTGACTGGCTAGGGGCTGGACGATCGAGGGGTCGGGGTTCGAGACCCAATAGGGTAAAGAATTTTCTCTTCTCCACATCATCCAGACCAGCTCTGGAGTCCACCCAACCTCATATCCAATGGGTACTGAGGGCTCTTTCTCTGGGGGTAAAGCGGCATGAAGCTGACCACTCACCTACAACTAGTGCCAAGATCAAGAAAATGTGGATCTATACATCCACTTCCCCATACGCCTTCATGACGTAGTGCTTAATTAGTTAAGCACAGGGACTTTACCTTTTTAAACTGAGGGCCTAAACAGAAAATGTTGGTCAGATGGATTTCATCTTTGCTCTGTATTCAATAACCAACAACTGTCTGCTGAGCAACGACTGACTTCATATCAAAGGCAAAACGGTCAATATCAATCATACATGAAAATGTAATTGCAATGTCTTTGCATTAATTGTACAACTAGATACAAGAAGTACATGCAAGTATGCTTAACTGGCATGAACAATCATCAAGCAGTGGCCCTCACACTGGAGGCTGGGTGAAGAGAGGGTTGGCAGCTAATAATCCCTCAGTGTCTAGCATGTCACAAAGGAACTTGGACTTTGGACATGTTCCTTGGTAGAGATCCTATGATAGATGCTTATGAATGCAATAAAGAGCATTTGGGTTCCAAAGGTGGGTTATTTCTTAAAACAGCTTAGAGATTATCAGTAACTATCTCATAAAGGAGTTTATTAAATATAAAATTTTGGTCAGAAAACCTCATGGAAATTGACAGCTTTGGCATACATAGCAACACAATGAAATGGACTTTCAGGAAACAGTACTGAATATGTGGAACACACTGCACTGAATTACCGTTAAGTCAGTGATAGGCTACTGTACATACACTACTGAATCTTTTGAGTTCCATAAAAACTTGGAATTTGTTGTCTTCATGAATCAATATTATGTTCTAATAATACATTTCACTGTTGTTAGATGCCATCCAAAGATTTTTATGGGCAGTAACACATTCAGACTTGGCTAATAGAATTAATACAGAGTTCTAAAACAGTGTCAAAGCCACTTATCAGGTTTTCTCCAAGTACTTCGGTTTCCCCTGCCAGTCTTCATTCCACCAATTGCTCCACAATCATCCTTACCTATCATCTGGGGCTGGTACAATAGGCCAGAAGTGGCCGCAGTACAAGGGACTTAGGCCCACCCCACTAGCAACAAAAAAAAAAAAAACTTCTTCTGACAAGAAACAGAAAAGTTCATACCATGATATAGTAATGACTCCAATTTTATTTTGCTGAGACTATGTCAAAAAGTAGTGGGATAACAGCAGAATTAACTGCACTTTTCATATCAGGGACTGCAATAAAAAAACCCTCAAACTATATGGTTTGTAAATTTATTTTCTAACAAATCTTATATTTTAAATTGTTATAGAAAATTGTACATTGTTGTGTCTTACCATTGATATACTAATAGCAAATGACACCTGTTCCAAATTCTTGGATTGTATTTGTTACCACTACCACTGGATATTTTGAATAATGGAAACTGCCCACGTGCACACGCATCAGCCTTTCGTCTGTCCTGTCCCAAGCTCGTCACTCATGTGTACACCATCTAGCGGTTCTCTTCTGAGACTTAACATACATATACTATTTACATCTAATTACAAAAGACTTACACCTTCAAACTTCGAAACTCTGAAATGCAATTTGTCTGTCTTATGGACATTACTGTGGAAGATCTCCGACAATAATGGCACAGATGATTTTGAACAGGAAACAGTCAGCTTCAGTTCCCCACATGACACAGAACTGTTAAAAAAAAAGACATTTTTCATTAATAAGAGGGAAAAGTGTATCCACTCTAATGAATTACTCATATTTGTCAAAGTATTCTCTGAAAATCTGCATTCCTCTGTGGTCTTGATGTACATTTATTGGAAACAAAAATAAGTTCATTTTATCGCAGATTTGTAATAGAGAGTGCAACACAGAATTTACTAAAATGACTGGCTTCTAGGAGGTGATGCCAAACAGTTTGGTAGACAAGTACCAACATATCACGAAGCCTGCTGCATCCATCTTTAGGGTAGAATGTAGGTATCTACTACAAGCATCACATCCCAGAAGTTATTAACTATTAGAAACTTAAATACTACAACACTACTGCTGGCAAAGTAAGTTATGAAAAAGAACTACACGATTTCTCCTTGCGTTTCATTAAACATTTATATTTGTATACAGGATTTAAAACCCGACCTTTCTGCAATTCACTTTGTGTCCCCACTCAGTACATCTCAGATAATTTCTGGACTCAGTGCTGCATAGTGTCTGTAAAATTCTAGGCTGACTGACAGCTTTTATGTTTTGCTAGATGGCAGCACCATATTGAATATTTGTCATAGCTTTCTGGATGCAACACAATGTTTGTTGTATGTTAGCACTAAAGGGGTTAATGCTCATTTACTGCAGATACAAATGACCTGCAGACAATGCTAATCGACAATGAAGGAAAACATTATATTTCACTATACACTTCGGACTCAAATAATCACAAAAAGGTAGTTTTATTGAAAGTGGTGATTTAATAAATTGGAGATGATATAAAATAACACAATTTATCATTTTACAATTAGTATATTCTTCACCATGTGCTGCACACTTGTGGCAGAAATGAGAACTAAAAATTTCTGCCACAAGTGTGCAGCACATGGTGAAGAATATACTAATTGTAAAATGATAAATTGTGTTATTTTATATCATCTCCAATTTATTAAATCACCACTTTCAATAAAACTACCTTTTTGTGATTATTNATGGTTCAAGTTCGTATAGCAACAGGCGTGACCAGAGTGGTTTGAACGGCTGTTGTACTGCGATGTGGAAAGCAAATGGAAAAACTACCACATTATCACTTTTCCTGGATAGTCTCTTTCCAAAAACAGAAGATCGCATTAAGTGGACGAACTGTTTTGGAGGAGACTGTGGACCTGTCGTCTGACAGATTACTGATGAATGAATGAATATGTGTCTTTAAACATTTCAAGGAGTCATATCCTACAAGACTATGAATTTATCAGAAAAGCTTATTATGTGACAACATTAATGCAATGAAAAAGGGCTTGATTAAGCACCACACCATGCATACATGTGCAGGTGTGGAGGTATAGCTCCACACATTTGTAATCACAGCACTAAAAGAAGGTGAATGGTCAACTCCATGCCCCAGCTTCTTTAACCCATGGGAATGAAACCCCATCACTAAGTGGACAGATGGCTTGATGGGAATCTCGACCAATTTACATGGTTTGGATAAGAAAACATTTCCTGCCTTGTCATCACCATCATCAAATGGTCAAGGGATTAGGCCATTTGTTTAGCAATTCTCAATTGTCTTCATAAAAGTAATCACTGATTCCTTGCTCCAGTAGATATATACTCCAATATTACTCTGAGAAATACGCCTCTCTGTATTCTGAATCCATTTTGTTAATGCAGCATTATGGTTAACACTGCTTCACTTTTCAGATAATCTATTAAGATTCATCTTCTGCGATTAAATCAGTACAATATATATATATAAAATAAATTATGTGAGTGATACTAACATATCACCAACTAGCTCCTCCTGAGTGCCTCTGGTGTTCTTCTCCACTTGTTCTCTTATTCGATCCATAAGAGATTCTGATGCTGATGATTTATTTATGGGGCCAGTGATTTCCACTTGATAAAGTTTAGAGCCACTGTCAGTTGAACAACTTTGTATCAAAGGTTTCAGTGATTCTGTTTCTGTAAAGCACAAGTAAAAGCAACATTATCAGACTGATGTATAAAGACAGGCTGAATTGTGAGAAGATGTGAACCCAATTCAACTGACTCAGTAAGAGACCAATCGTGCACTGTTGGAAATATTATGATAAGCCTTTAGGTTTCCACAGAGGCAGGTAATTTTGTCATCAACTGAACAATTACCAATGGTCAAGGAACACCTTGTATTGAGAAATTTGAGTCTTATGTTATCCCGATATGTCTACATACTGCACATACCAAATGCACGTGCCAGCCAGTCATTCACACCACCAGATACAGCATCAAAACTCGTGTGAGGGGAATATACTGCAATTCTGTTCTCAAGGCAAGTACCAATTATACGCTCCTGAAATTAAAAAGAGACTTTTAATCACTGTTCACACCACCAGCAGGAGGAAAAGAAGAAATGTGATGACAACATTGCAAAATATAAAGGTGGCACTGAAATATTACCTTCCATGTTCTTCCTGTGACTGACTTCAATGGCGCAAATATGGGAGGATGGTAAGAGATAATCAGATCAGCACACAATTTTACAGCTTCTTCCATCACATCCTCTGTCAAGTCATTGGTGAGAAGAATCCTTTTAACATTCTTCTCTGTCATTGGCTGAACCAGAAGTCCCACATTATCCCAAGATTCAGCCAAAGATTTTGGAGCAAAACTATCTAATTTTGCAATCAAATCATTCAGTAATAGGCCAGAATTCTCTGTATTTGCCATTACTGCATATTCCCGTGTTACACAAAAGTCATAAAGCTTCCAACAATGCTTTGACTGTTGATTAGGTGATTTAGTGCTATGAATACTACTGCAGGAATATGGGCAAATATTATTCTTGTACCATGAATTTATTACATGTCTCAATGGGAGAGAATATTTCTGCAGAAATTTATTTCCAAACAACACAGATGAAAGCATCTGTCACTTCAATTCACTCAAGATCTGCAAAGAAAGATGTAAAATATAAATATTATGGCAAACAAATTAAACATGATTCAGCACAAAATGTATCTCACTTTGAAGGCATGATGGTACAAAACCTTAAAATAAGACTGGAAAAATTTCTTCACATTTCATCATTTAGTCTTCTTTCCTCTAACTACTTACCACTTGTAAGTCATAGGGTCCAGCTTTTAAGTCCCAATATTTTCCTCAAACTTTGTCCTCAGATGCCCTCAATCCAGGCCTTTTCTTAGAGTAACTTTAAGTTTCTGATCCATACAAACTGACATACTTACTACATTAATCTACAATTGTTTTTTGGTAGGATACACCAAAAAGCTGGTATACTGGGAATTCAAAAGAATTATATTTAGAAGGCCTAAGTCTGAATCTTCGCCAAGTTATTTGATATTCTAACCAAGGTTTCCGTCTGTCTCCAAGTTAATGCTTGGATGGTACTTTTAAACAAGTGTAAGTGCCTCCTTCTCAAGCCTTTCCTACTTCTCTTTCATGATAACTTCCTAATTCAACAATAAAGTTTGTCAAACAAGTTGACAGCTGATAAATTAGATAGGATATAAAAAGATGTTAAGATTATAAACCACATGACAGCACACATGAACAAGTTTAATCTGCTTTTTTCGTTAATATCATTTTAATCTATTCTCTTCAAACTTTTCTGCATTTCCAAAGGACTGACTAGCTGTTCTTATACAATACTTGAAGCAGAAGTATATGTCATAAAGGAGAACATAAAATTTGGACTACAAAAATATGAATAATTACAACAATCATACTGCATTTTAATCACCGAATTCCTTTCAAAGAATGCAAAACTAGTTTCATATGGGCTGCAATCCCTTGGGATAATGGCAGAACACAAGGTATAACTAATGTGGATGGCAGGACATGGCAGGTTAAGCAATGAGCTTGCCAGCTGACTGCCAAAATGAAGGTCCACCTGTAGCATCTTTGATAAGCCTGTTAGGTAGATTCTGAGAGGTTGGAGGAGTAGGAAACACCTCTGATACTGGAGGTCTATAAATGGGCACAGGACTGGAAAGCACTTTATTCAAAAAAAAAAAAAAACACTAAAGAAAACTATAAACACTAGATAGAAACATGTTCAATTACATAACTATTAACAGGTCACTATCCTTTAAATGAACATGTATAAAAGCTGGGACTAGCTACTTGCAGTAGGTATCAGAACCCTAATGAAACAGTTACACAGTGACAATCTAGCACTGCTGCTAGATTGTCACTTCAGAGGTCATTCAATGAACCACAGTGGCTACTGCTAAATCTGATGAGATAAATTTGGGAGATATGAATGATTCACTGAAGTGTTCGTGGTGCTTGAGTAGTTTCACACCCACCGTTTTCTATCCTTTTTTTATCGTTCAGAATGGAACATCTGCAAATATGTTGAATAAGTAGATTCAGACAGCAAATACAGACTGGTCTTCCAGCTACAGGTAGGGCTTAAAGTTGTTTAAATTAAATTTTAATATGTTCATCCTAATAAGAAATAAAACAGAAAAGAAAGGTAGGAGTAAGGGCTCCAGTGATATAGGAACAGTAAGACAGTACAGTGCCGATCACGGTAACTGAGTGGTCTAAGGCATGTACTGTCTTCGCTCACTTGGAAACCAGGATCGTGGGTTCAAATCCCACTCAGGGCATGGATGTTTAGTTTGTGTGTGCATTTTTCTGTGTTTGTGTACAGGTAGAGGCCTTGCGGCAAGCTGATCACCCGCCCAAGGAGTCCTACCAAACATCTAAGATCTAGAAAAACTGAAGTGAGCGGAGAAGTTCATGGAGGTAGGCCTAGGCCCACTGGGGCCGTAGTGCCAAGAAAAAAAAAAGACAGTACAGCAGGACCTTATGAATGGCCATATTTATTTGATTATTCTAAGAATTAGCACATGTATATATGTTTAATAAAGACCTACAGTTCTGAAGTAACTGGCTATTATATCATAGGCTGCCATTAGAAAGAATAACAGTATTTCTCAAACAACTGCCACATCATTAATCATGAATGGATAAAATGTGTGAACTTAAAATTGACGGAGAACAAAAACATAATTAAAATTATGCCCAATACCTACAAAAAATTGGTATCTTGAAACTACATATATGTCAATCATCAGTGTGCATAATGCTCCTTGAAGGAATTTTGCGAACTACACAACCAAATAATACAACAATATTCTGGACATCATACACGTATGAATATTTCTAAACACATTCACTCTGTGAACTGCCACAGTTTTACTTCAGCATCATCACTTGCTGAAGCCAAAAGACCAGGAACACTTGGATTCCACATAACTGAATTGACATCCTGAGCATGAGCCTTATGACAAGTATGGTACAAAACAAACGTTGGTTCATTTGGATCAGAATCTTCTGTTTCCTTAAAAATTCTAATGATATCATCACCACAAGCAGTTGCAATCAGTCCTGTGTTATGGCACCATGAAATGTCGTACACAGTGCGGCTGTGAAAACCAGATAGAGTACACACACATTTCCAAACAGGTTCATTGCTAGGTGTCACAATTCCTTCCGTATTCCCAGGACGATATTCCTGCCATATCTTCACAGTTCGATCATCGCTGCAACTTGCAAGGCGAGTTCCAGTGCTGTCAAATGCCACACTCCAAACAGTAGACTCATGAGAATCTAATGTTGCAGTACAAATCCAGTCATGATCTGCTACATCTTCTTTAAAGAGCTTTATAGTATTATCATAGCTAGCAGAAGCAAGAATATCTAAGTGTGGATGCCATACCACCTTCTTTACATCCTGCGTGTGAGCATTCAACACAGCTGCACATTCGTACTCATCATCATCTGCAACCTCCCACACCCACACACTTTTATCTCTGCTACAAGTTGCTAACAGCTGACCTGATTTGGCCCATGCAACACTTTTAACCTCATTTTCATGACCTTCTAATGTGGCATTACATTCAAACTGCCCAGTTTTCTTATCCCAGATTGCAGTTGTTGCATCAAAGCTTGCAGAGGCCAAATAATTTCCACATGGAGACCATGCTATCTCTCGAATTGTTCTCTGATGTCCATCAGCTAGAACAGTCTTGTTGACCCATTTAGAACCTTCCCTCCCCCAGATGCGAATGGTTTTGTCCTCACCACAAGATGCTAATGTGTTACCCTGTGGATGCCAGCAAACATCCCAAACACGACCTTCATGACCTAACAGACTTTGTACCAATTCCAGCTTTCCCATTGAACCTGAAAACAAAACACTGTTCCAGTACACATGACCACAAAGTTAACATTTATAGCAATTTGTCATATTATGTTGACTGCTAAATGAAAGAAAAAGCTGAAATGATAGGAAATGAACTTTTGGAAACTATGTGGCTCACTGAAAATCAGAGATACAATATTATGGTCATGGACTACACATGATCAACAGCGGAATGCCTCTGATACCACACAAATTAACAATACAGAATAGACAACCACTGAGAAGGCCACGGACCAAGTGAGAGCAGATACAAGAATGTGGAAGAAGTCAATATGGATGCAAGATGAATGCTTATGGGAAGAGAGAAACAAACAGAAGCTCTCTCATAAATGGGTGGTGATGATGATGTTGTTGTTGTTGTTTTAAGACTGACTAATTACAATCAGCAGAAAAATGAAGTAGTGAAGATTGGGGGGGAAAAGGAAACTATTGTATAGATGTAAGAGCATGAACATAGAGACGGAATGGGAGAACATAAAAGGCCAAAATGAATATGGTTAAACACCAATTTAAGGTTTCATTGGGGAGCTGTGGATCTGAACACTAAACTGCAGAAAATCTTAAATGGAGAAAATTTTACACTCAGGATCACTGAAACTTAACACTAAATGAGGGAAAACTTAAACTGATGAACATTAAATGAGGATTCCATTGTACATAACTGAAAACAAGGAAAAATAATGCGGGTGTGGGGACAGCATTTGCTTCAAAGATATCTGTAAAATAACAAAGGAAAGAAATTTGAAGGGGACTAAAATTACAGTTATGGAGTGCAACAGGAATACCAAGAATATACAGTCTAATGGACATCAGATTGCCAAAAGGAAAGGGTGGACACAAAATCTGTTGTCTACAAGTCTCAACCTTCTTACGATACTGAATCTTCTGACAATTAAACTTCGCACTAGACTTCTAAACATGGAAACATGATCAGTCGAACAAAAGAACTAGTTACAAGCCGCAATGAACAGGCAGACACAGTAGCTAAAACGTAGACCGTTAGAAACTATATTGCAGTGTATTACATATGAACTGAGCAGTTCATTCTAAAAATCTACGGACATTCATCTTTTATGTCGGTAAAGTGTTGAATATACAGAAGACACTACAGCATTCCAATTTTTCCTCCTTCCAGAATTGTATTAAACAAATGGGGCCACTGATTTCAAAAGCAGCTATCAAATAATACAACAGCAATGTGTTACATACACACCATTAACCATTAAGGACTGATAACTCTACAAAACACGAAATTAAGAATGCGAAACAAACACTAAAACATCACTGGTCATCTACACATTGACCACATTGACCGACATTGCCCATACAAACCACAGAAACAAACGTTTCAGGCCGATGCAGACCATGCAGACATGCAGACGACCATCAAGAAACCAAAGATTAGCAACGTCTGTCATCTATCCCTGAGACAGCGATATTACAGCGATTGCTGTCTGACGGTAGAATCTGTGCTCAGTCGGTAATAAAAGTTAACTACTATCCAAACATACACAGTTTTCTTCCTCTACCCCAAATCACAGCACACAAATCAATAATTTTGCAATCCCACATAGGAACTTACTCCGCTTTGGGGGTAGGAATAAATGCATACGGATTTGTTTGATTAGTATCATTTCACTCATATCCATAAAAATAACAAAATTCCTCTTACATCAGAGTTCTTTAGAAATGTAAAAAAAAAAATGGATAAAGCTATCCTCGTAACAGGCCATGAAGGTCCATAGAGTTGTGAGACGACGAGGCTCCCACATTTTCTCTAGACAATCGGCTCACAGATGGAGGTGAGGTTATCAGCCTTACGTGCTGGCCACCCTTTACCCACCAGGAAGATTTATGGTACACATTTCCAGGGGGTGGAATGTGTCATATGGGAAAGGAAAACATGCGCATCTGCTGCCGTTTCTACGCAGACGACATGAACTAGATAGTCGGAACCAATCACAATACAACAGTCATATAACTTACGGCACTTTCCTGGGGAATCGCCTGGAGCGTCTGAGTAAAATCACGAAAAATCTTATGGCAAATTATCCCCGTCGAGATTCGGAATCATTAGCACTTAAGACAATTTTCTGTAGAAAGTAATATTTGCTTAGATAACTAACAGCAAGCGGAGGCTATATAAATCAGGCATTATGCTATGTACAAGCAGGGTACAAAGGATACATATATATAATTCCTTAAGAGAGACACTGCTACTTTTCTGGAAATATGACGAGGGAGTAAGGTTCCTGTCGCCGCTCCCAAATATAAGTCAGAATGAATATTAACGAATAGGAATAAAACCCAGTTAAAATGAAAAATGGAAGTAAAAATAAGAGGAAAGCTCTCAAAAATGCATAATATTTTGAGGAAAACTGGGATGTGTTTCTTATGACGAAAGAGTCACAATCGCAATCCTGCAAATAGTTTCAATGTGAGGTGGACTCAGCCAGGCAACATTTGTATCGAGGAAAGCAGTCTTCTGGGATTTGGCAACGTGTATATGTGGTGTTAACCGACGTTTCGGAGGAACGTCGGTTAACACCACATATACACGTTGCCAAATCCCAGAAGACTGCTTTCTTCATAGTCACCGCCGTGAAAGCCTCAAATCTTACATATTTGTATTGAGGTTTGAAAAGACAGCCTGCCAGTCACATTGCACTTACTGTGAAATAAGAATATTAAGATGCCATCAGTTCTGTGAGTCGTTAAGCAGTAGGTAATTATTTTCCCCTTTATACTACATCGAACGAAGTTCATTTCTTGTCGCAGAACAAATACAGCAAACCAACTTTCGAACAAAAATTTGAAGTGACACATTTACAGCCACGTCAGCCACTTTGTTCTCATCAACAATAAAATGGAATTTAAGAATCTTCCAGATAAATAAGTTGATATTTCGTAGCTAGTGGTTTGCGAGAAAACCGTGGGTGACTGGCAGCATGTTTCTGAAAAATCTATACAGTTTTCCATGTTTACGCTGTGCTGGCGATACTATGTGGACAAATTTGGAATTCGAAGACTTAAAGCATTTGTCTTGAAGACCCATAAGACACGAAAACTCGACATCTCATAAGCGAAATGCTGTTTCGCTAAAACGTCTTGGAAAGTCCAACTCTGGTGAAAAGTTAAACAATGGTCGTCAGAGAAAAATGAACCAATCCGTGCTAATAATCTTCACCCACCAATTTAAATTTTATCTGGAAATTTCCAGGCTTCACGATCTCGGATATCTCGTTTTCCTTCTGAAGTTTCATGCAACTCCGACAAAGCGATGTTGAATTAACTTCTCGTCGTTCAGAATTGCGCGATATGCTGGAGGATGGACAGGTGCCAGACGCAATTACACAAATATATGCCATGTGTCCATAAGGGTTTCTGCTTCATATATGCGTTTACATAATGCTTAATAATACATGGCATGATATTTGTCAAAACAAGCTAAAATCCGCCTACCGAGAACTAGTGCCATCTAGTCATGTGAGCTGGTGAAGTTTAACGAAGTACCGTAGTCGGTTCAGTTCTGCTACCTTCTGACCTGCCTTGCGTCCCTGTTCCGAAGGATACATTATTCAACCTTTCAAATGAAGGGAACAGCGACGCCGAGGTTTGGAGGGAACGTAATGCCTGTGAGTATGTGGCTTGGCTTGTCGTCATATCCACGCAGGGTACTTCCTTGTCTTACTCTTCGATCATGATGATGGGTGCGTATGTTCCTCCGACACATCAGTGAACTTCTGCCAGCCTATACGAAGTCACATCTAAACAGAGGAGTTCTAAATTGCTGAAATTCATTGTTCTAGTTCAGCCGGAAGTCCAATAATTTAAAGATTGTCTTGTGAAAGCAATACAATAAGGGGAGGGGGGTTAATCATAGCAGGATATTTTTTTGTTTATGTTTTCTGGTTTGTTATTTTTGTTTTTGTCATCGTGAAGAAGAAAGAAACTGATCCCAAGTTTTTGTCCGATTTACACGCCTTCAGCCCTCCTGAACACGAAAATGCTTTGTGGAATGCCGTCTGTCTGTATGTATGTATCCCTGTAACAGGCTGTGGAGGCCCGTAGGATTGTGAGATGTCGAGGCTCCCACATTTTCTCTAGACAATCGGCTCACAGATGGCCGTGAGGTTGTCATCATTACGCGCCGGCTGCCTTTTACCTCCAGGATGATTCGTGGTACTCATTTCTGTTAAAGGCTGAGTCGACCCCAGGGATATATTCAAGGCTTGTAGCATACTCCATCAACCAACTACGCTACCGCGTGCCCTGTGGTAGAAAATACGTTATGGATGTCCATAAAATGATTTAATCAATGACCTTCTGTCACATAATGACTTAGCCCATTTTTGCACTACACACTGAACACGTTGAGGGTTTTTCCGCACTTCGCACACCAATCCTGCCACAGTAGCATCAGAGTCACAGAAGTGGCAGACATGCAACGCTTCAACATCGGCTTGCTTCTTGCGCTTACAGCGATTACACGAGGTAAGTTGAAATTGGCTGATTAATTGGTTAATTTTCATAATTTCCCAAACTTATCAAGTGATTGCAGACGATAGCTGGGTTTACAGTCGAATAAATCAGGTGACTGTTATGTTTATATAGACCGCCTCTGTGGTCTAGCAGTCAGAGTTCCTGACTACAGATCCAGAGATCCCGGGTTCGATTGCCGGCGCTACCAGTTATTCTGAGAAGCAGTGGGTCTGGAACGGGGTCCACTCAGCCTCATGAGGATATTTGAGGAGCTATTTCAAGGAAATAGTGGCTCCGGTCTAGAAAACCGAGATTAACGGTCTTGGGGATCCGTTGCCCTGACCACGTGACATCCTCTATCCGCAAAAGTTAACACTAACTTCGCCGACAAGCGGCGGTCGCTCGGGTGGTATAGTTCGCTTGCGGACTACAGGCCACGGAGTTTTTATGTTTATATTCAGCAAATTTGATTGATTTCTGGGTTTAATTGATGAAGTGACTTTTCTTTACGGTCAATTAAATAGCCCCACATTTTCTAAAATTAATATTTGTGTAGTTTTTATGCAACCTTTGCTCCTTAGAAAGGAGGAATAAGGGAGGTTTGCAGTATGTGTCACAGTACCTCGCGAATGTATTTCTTTTTGCCCCGTAGCAGAAAACGATTGTCCCAGGATCATTAGCAGATCTGGCTGGGGAGCAAGACCTTCCAAGCACGTGGAATATATGAAAATCCCTGTGGAGTATGTTGTTATCCATCACACCGTAACTCCAAGTTGCAGCACTGTGAGCATGTGCGTGGACCGGGTGGCCAGTATACACTCATTTCACGTGGACACAAATGGCTGGAGTGATATTGGTTTTTCGTAAGTTTATTTCATCCGCATAAACTTTCTTCTTCACCCTCCCTCAGGCAAAGACTAGCTTTGTTGCAAAACCGACTATCATTTTCAATAAATTTCGTGTGTTATGGCGCAGCTGCCTACCTACCGAACCCTAAGGATAAGTTGGCCGAAGCTCACAGCAGTGGAATCGTTTTGCTGTGCAGTATCTGCATTATGGCCGATCACAGTGGCCAAGGCATGAAATGCCTTCGTCCGCTCGAATACTAGGATCGTGAGCTCGAACCCCGCTCAAGCCATAGATGTCTGTGTGCGTTTATTCTGTGTTCGTGATATCCTGTGTGCAGGTAGAAGCCTTGCGATGGTCTGATCTCCCGTCCAAGGAGTCCTGTCGACGCTGTGTGGGATTAAGGAACTGAAAAAAAAAAAAAAGTGGCCAAGACCCGACAAAGGGCTATAGAGCCATAGATAGATATATTTGCATTACGTCCCCACACGAAGCTAAGAAATAACCTAATCGGTTCATTCAGCGAGAGAATGCCAAGACCTGGAAGAAAATTAAGTCTCCCTTTACCAATCCCTTATAGTAACTTATTTTAATACACCATCTCTAACCCAGCTGCTCCTGTGCGAGACGAAGTGACGGTAACATAAGGTATCGACGTCTTCTTCGACCTGCGCAGGAGCAAAACCGAGTTCCTGTTTTTGTTTCGGAACACTCTTCACTCTCACTCTGATCGAGGCACGCGGTAGCGTAGTTGGTTAAGGCACTATGCTACGAGCTAGAAGGTCGTGGGTTCAAGTCCCGATGTGGTGGATTTTTTTTTTTAATTTACCTAAAACTTCCAGCCGCACTATGACCCTGTGGTCGACTCAGCCTCGAACAGAAATGAGTACCAGGAATATTCCTGTGGCGTAAAGGGCGGCCAGCGCGTAAGGCTGACAACATCACCGCCATCTGTGAGCCGATTGTCTAGAAAATGTGGGAACCCCTACGTCCCACACACCTATTGGCCTCCACAGCCTGTTACAATGATAGCTTTACTTTTTTTTTTTTTACAGCTCACTCTAATCGGCCAGGTGAAGAACTAGAGCCTGTGTTCAGTGAACAATTCCTCAGCTGAACTCTGCTTTATTTAAATTATTTACACAAAGAGTGGCAGTCTAAGAAAATACTCCATGTGTTCCCCACGTCTTGAATTCTTCTTCATTACTTCCTCTTAAAGAACCTGAACGCTCTCCCTACTTACGCAAAGCTGACAGTCAGCCACTACTCACTTGGAAACATGCTAATAACGACAACGATGCGTTCTACTTATCAGGCCCATCACTTTACCTGTCTCCTGAACTTCATCTTGCGAAGTATTTGATATGTCCCTGTAAGAGCCCGTGTAGGCCCATGGGTGTGTGAGAGGTTGAGGCTCCCATATCTTCTCCAGACAGTCGGCTCACAGATGGCGGTAAGTTTATCAGCCTCACGGGCCGGCTGCCCTTTACCCCCAGGAACATTCCTGGTACTCATTTCTGTTAGAGGCTGAGTCGACTCCAGGGCCATAGTGCGGCTGACAGGATTAGGTCAATTGAAAAATCCAATAACCTCATCGGTCGATCCCGCGACCTTCCGGCTTGTAGCATAGTGCCTCAACCAACTGCGCTACCGAGTGCCCCTACGAATCTTTCTTTTTCCTTGGCACTACAGTCCCAGTGGGCCTAGGCCTACCTCCATGAATTTCTCCGTTCACTTCGGTTTTTCTAGATCTTACACACTCGGTAGGACTCCTTGGGCCGGTGATCAGCTCGTCGTAAGGCCTCTACCTGTACACAGAAAAACGCACACACACAAACTAAACAGCCATGCCCTGAGTGGAATTCGAACCCACGATCCCGGTTTCCAAGCGAGCGAAGACAGTACATGCCTTAGACCGCTCGGCTACCGTGACTGGCGCCCCTACGAATACATTAATATAAATCATAATCGGTGAGAGCTCCGAGACTTGAAATCTACATATGACGCTGTGACACAGATTTCAGCGTCGGAGAGCAGATATGTCGATGAATAATACGAGAATAGCAACAGAATAAGACAATTCGTAACCTACTTCCTTTTCGTTTGCAATGTTCTAAGTATGCAGAGTTGCTTGACAAATCTTGTGGCGCAAGGCTGGGATGAATTTGTGCAGACACAAGCTGATCAGAGTTCCTTCGTCCTCTGACACAAAATATCGTATTCTTTTCTAAATAAATTGGTTAGTTACTACGTCAGTGAAAGTCCGCAATTGAATCTATCTTGAGACAGCTCACTACAGTTCACATCCTCACACCTGATTATTGTATGATCCACTTTAACTTTAAGCCTAATGTCTCATCTATGCCTAAATCTCCCAAATGGCTCATTTTTCTTAAAAATTTCCAACCGAAAATTTGGTAGGCCTTTGTCATTTCCCTGATGTATGCTAATGTGTTGCCAATCTCATTCTTCTTGATTTACTTCCCCAGCCAGATTAGTGGAGTAGTACAAACCGTGACGCTCCTCATTCTGTAATTGTCTCCATTCTTATGCGTCCTCGCTTTCAGGTCCTACAGTGCACAGCACGCGTGCAGTACGTGTGAGTGGATACAGATCCAGAGGTCCCGGGTTCGATTCCTGGCACCACCAGATTTTCTGTGAAGGAGTGGGTCTGGAACGAGGTCCACTCAGGCTTATGAGGATAATTGAGGAGCTATTTAAAGGAAATAGCGGCTCCGGTCTAGAAACCCGAAATTATCGGCCGTGGGGATTAGTTGCGCTGACCACGCGACACTCTCTATTCGCTAAAGTTTGCATTAACTTCGCCGACAAGCTGCGGTCGCTCGGTCGGTATAGTTCGCTTGCGGACTTAAGGCAACGGAGTCTACCATGCCGCAAATACTTGTTTTGCAGGAAACCTAAGGTAATCCTTTTCCGAGACGTATTGGCAATCCGCTTGCTCATCTGTCCCCTGTCAGTTTCAGTTTCCAGCAGCAATGCTGACGTCATTATGTATCATTGTTTCGTGAAACTCTCTGCTGTACGTCATCGGAGGCATCTTCATCGCTGTATCAACATCTTACCATGAATAATGCAGATTTTCATAAAGTATTCCAGTTAGTCTGTTTCAACACAACTTAATGAAGTCGGGACTGCATGCAGTTTTCACCAGAGATTTACTAGTTAATACGCACATAGTTCACTTTTCCATGACACGACTACAAGGAATCCCCTCACTGTATGGTTCAGACTCGTGCAGTTATCCGTGGAAAGACCCATGCCCGATGAGTGTTGATGACTTTGCAAGATGCAGGCCTAGAACAAAGGTTGAATCCACTTCATCGCTTGCGGCAGTCCGTGTATGAACCACAGGAATGACGTCACTTCAACCGGTTGTGGTGAGATATTGCATGCGGAAGAAACAAAGATTAAAAAACAATAAAAAACAAGCGTCCGATCTACAAGAGTTCTTGACCCGAAATTTATAAAAAGAACCCTTAATGGGGAGGTCATATCAGTTTGAATTTTTCAGTTCTCAGACTCTAATCCTGCATCGATTTAATGATCCCTGGGATCAGTGTTCGACCGCCTCTGTGGACTAGTGTTCAGGGTTCCTGACTACAGATCCAGAGGTCCCGGACTCGATTCCCGGCGCTACCAGATTTTCTGATAAGTAGTGGGTCTGGAACGGGGTCCACTCAGCCTCGTGAGGATAATTGAGGAGCTATTTCAAGGGAGTAGTGGCTTCGGTCTATAAAACCATAATTAATGGCCATGGGGATCGCTTACGCCGACCACGTGACACCCTCTATCCGCAAAAGTTGGCACTAACTTCGCCGACAAGCGGCGGTTGCTCGGTCGGTATAGTTCGCTTGTGAACTACAAGCCACGGAGATTGTTTTGTTTGTTTTTTGTCGCATCAGTGGAAGCTTCGAAATATCATTGGCTGACAGTCATGTACTTTTCAAGCGCGTTTCTAATTTCTCTGGTTTGCAGTTGAAATGGAGATCTGATGACAGCGCTGCAGTCTCACTAGAGCTAGGACTTGCTACGTTACAAGCAGGTGGAGCCACGGATAGCCAGGAATCTTCCTACGGCTTGGCGATATTAGCCTTACCCAACGCATTTCAATTAAAATTGTCACGAATCGTGGCTTCCGTAGATAACAGTAATGGGTTCTGGATTGGATGATTGTATTTATCGACACTTCTTTACAATTACAACCAATTATAACAGCTCACAATCAGTGAATGCCTCAGATTCGCTCCATTCTTTACTGGACCAAGAGTGTTCTCTCTTATGCATGACTGACTCAGTTCTTATTTACGAGTCGGTCACTTATTGAGCTTCCGTTTTCCCTAGTGAGCACTCCACAGCTGAACACTCAACTTCTGAACTCTCTTACGACTGAACCATTGCCGTGGTGACAAGGGACCCCCCTAACATGATGCTGATGATGTGAATCTACGGGTGATAATATAGATACCATAAAGACTTCAACTGACGCTAGCAAGGAAGTAGGTCTAGAAGTAACCACAGAGAAAACTAAGTATATGTTACTGTCTCGTCACCAAATGTAGGGCAAAATCATGACATAAAGATAGGAAATGGATGTTTTGAAAATGTGGCACAGTTCAGATATTTGGGAACGACGATAACAAATCAAAACCTGATTCAGGAGGAAATTAAGAGGAGATTGAACTCCGGTAATGCTTGCTACCATTCAGTGCAGAACATTTTGTCTTCTCGCCCGCTGTCCAAAAACATAAAAACTAGAATATACGAAACTATAATTTTGCCTGTGGTTCTGTATGGGTGTGAAACTTGGTTTCTGACTTTAAGGGAGGAACCTATACTGAGGGTTTTTGAGAACAGGGTGTTGAGGAGAATATTTGGACCGAAGAGAGATGAAGTGACAGGAGGTTGGAGAAAACTGCATAATGAGGAGCTTCATAACTTGTACCCTTCTCCAAGTATAATTAGAATGACAAAGTCGAGGATGAGATGGGCAGGATATGTAGCACGAATGTGGAGAAGAGGAATGCGTATAGGATATTGGTGAGAAAGCTAGAAGGAAAGAAACCACTAAGAAGACCAAGACATATGTGGGTGGACGATATTAAAATGGATCTTAGAGTGATAGGATGAGATGGATTGGATTGATCTGACTCAGGACAGGGACCAATGGAGGGCTCTTGTGACCATGGCAATGAACCTTCGTGTTCCACAAAATGCTGGGAATTTCTTGAGTGGCTGCACAAGTGGCAGCTTCTCAAGAAGGGCTCAGCTCCATGAGTGATGATGATGATGATGATGATGAAAATGAGGTGTAGATTGAAGAACAATATTAGATTTTAACCTCAAGAAATGAGATGTTAAGATGCGAACCGAGTTAAATTGATTCAGAAAAATAGGTCTATTGTTCCAGTGAACACGATAACAGATCACTGGCTTTCAGCAAAGTTACGTATGCCTATTACATTTTTGAGGAAGACCCTTTAACGCGGAGTTCGTTATAAGAATGTCGCTTTCCTGTATTCACACATGTTTATGTTAACTGATATCAGGATTTCTGCACAGGTTTTTGGTCGGCGGGGATGGCAACGTATATGAGGGCCGTGGCTGGCACCAAGTTGGGGCTCACACGTATGGCTTCAACAGGAGGAGCGTAGGAATTGCATTGATAGGAGAATTCACTGGTAAGTATAATATATATGTGAACTGGGATAGCGTGGTCGGTATAGCGACTAGCTACGTGCTGGACGACCAAGGAGTCGGAGTTCCAGTCCCGATATGGTCAAGAATTTTCTCTTCTCCACGTCGTCCAGACGGGCTCTGGGGTCCATCCAACCTCCTATCCAATAGGTACCGGAGTCGTTTTCCCCGGAGGTAAAACGGCTTGGGCGTGAAGCTGACCACTCACCTCCAACTAGCGCTGAGGTCAAGAAAATGTGGTTCTATACACCCACTCCCCCATACGCCTTCATGGTTTACATTTTTTTTTACCATTAAGTATAACATATATCTCTGTGAACGCTATAATTCTTCTGAGGCAATCCGTAAATTCTTTTGATATTGTAATGTTGATGGCGCAACAGGAAGTAGGGGTCACGTGAACTCTGCGTTAAAATATATTTACCAGGTTTGCTAAGAAATTTACTGGTGAAACCCCGCAAACGCTCACCATCTCCGCACGTACACAGAAACTAGATTACAAAATGAGGGAAGATGAAAATGGAAAGAACGTGCTCCAATTTTAATAGTCTCTCTGCCTGTAATTCTAATTCATTCCTTGCGACGGCGCATCCGTTGTCCTTGAAGTGTATTTATTTAACTTAGGCCTGCATCTCTATTGTTTCGTAGACAGAACACTGGGAAGATTGAGGAAATACTTTCCTTTGCACTTTGTAAAATATTCGCAAGTCTAAAGTAGAGAAATATTATTAAAGGTTATATCTTAGCAAGTTCTTATTTGTTTTATGTTACATGTTTTAGGAGTAGGCCTATCGATTAATCAGAACGATTGTACGTTTCATGTAAAGTGTCAGTTACTGAGACCGATAACTTTCACTGAAGAACTCCAAAATCAAATTAGGTCTAGGACCCATATCGAAATCTGTTAAGTGGTTTCGAAGGCTAAACATGCGAACAGACGGGCTAGAAATTACTTAAAAAATGTAAGTCCATGAGAAGAAAAGAACCCAATGAAACAACAACAAAAACAAACCCCGTGGCTTTATAAGATTTGTGGTTTTCACGGCGGTGACTATGAAGAAAGCAGTCTTCTGGGATGTGGCACCGTGTAGATGTGGTGTTAACCGACGTTTCAGAAGAACGTATCGCCTCCATCTTCAGGGTAGAAGGAAAAATAAGAAGTCCGCAAGCGAAGAGACCGTGAGAACCGGTACAAGCAGACTGCTACACCAGTCTGCCACGTGTTTTTGACAAGCCGCTGTCTAGCAATGGACGCCCGCTCTGACTCGATATTCCGGCTTTCAGGCGGCACGCCACAATATCAACATAGCAATCTTTATTTCAGGTTGCGAACATTATTTTTCTTGAACGGCGACTAGAGTCTGCAGCAAAGTAACAAATTCGGTCGGTTCCTGTAAGGATGAGAGCCCAGCAGTCACATAAATAGCGCTCAAGTTGGGAAAGTCATGCGGTTGCATTATGGCTGCCTGTATTCGCGAAAGTAAGATTCTGAACTTATAAACGACGTTAAACACTTCATCCTTGTAAGAACTGCACACTACCACTAAAAGCAATCCTTATTACTTTGCTCAAATCCTCACCAGTTTATACGAATTAAATTGTTAAGTAACGCAGATTTACGTTGTCGGTACTGAATGTGTGATTACAGATTCCTTGCCCCCACGGATCCAGTTGGAGGCCTTGAAGAGTTTACTGGAGTGCGGTGTAAAGGAGGGAGAGTTAGCGGAGAACTACAAGGTGTTGGCAGCTCGTCAGGTCTCGGCCACGAAGAGCCCGGGGCTTGCGCTCTTTCAGGAGATTCAGACCTGGCCCGATTGGGTTGAAAATCCATGAGAGACAGTGGCTAATTCAAGCATCATGTTCCTTTGGTGGACCTCCTAATATTAAAGAAAATATTTTCTGAATTTTGAGTGGGATGACAGTGAAACTTAGCCAACATTCATACTCCCATTTCTTTTAAAAATGAAAATATTATGAAGATTTTGTCATGCAAATCAAATGCTTATTGGTGCATAAATAAACAAGAAGTTCTGGGAAGAACTAACCATCTAATTCCCTTGATACGACATGGACCTCTCAGAAAACGACGCGTCCAACAACTCTTCTGTTGTTGCTTGTGTATTAGTTGCCGCGGAAAAGTTGTTACCAAACAGCTGACTAGCAAAGATAGGAATACGCGTACAGACACATAGATTGAAGGGAGCGATTTATGAAACATGTCGTTGAAATGGGCCTAGGTGCAATGATGTACCTACCAAGTTTCATAAAGACTGGTCGAGGTATTCAATAGTTAACAGCGGGAGGAACTACACAGACAGAATGGCGATCTCATAAGCCTACTTTTTTTTTCAAAATAAGGAAAGTGGGCTAAAAATGGAACCAACCCGAATGTATTAGTATATCGAATGGAATTTTTTACTTTTTACAGAATGGTTACCGTCATGTTGAATATTCTTAATGTTCAGGCTCAGAGGCTTGAAGAAGCTTTCAGTCTCTTCCGATATTTGTTACTAATCGCGAGTAAAGATATTCCTGTTTTCCGCAAACAAGAAGATGAGAATGAAAATATCACTTTCGCTGCNTCCTTATTACTTTGCTCAAATCCTCACCAGTTTATACGAATTAAATTGTTAAGTAACGCAGATTTACGTTGTCGGTACTGAATGTGTGATTACAGATTCCTTGCCCCCACGGATCCAGTTGGAGGCCTTGAAGAGTTTACTGGAGTGCGGTGTAAAGGAGGGAGAGTTAGCGGAGAACTACAAGGTGTTGGCAGCTCGTCAGGTCTCGGCCACGAAGAGCCCGGGGCTTGCGCTCTTTCAGGAGATTCAGACCTGGCCCGATTGGGTTGAAAATCCATGAGAGACAGTGGCTAATTCAAGCATCATGTTCCTTTGGTGGACCTCCTAATATTAAAGAAAATATTTTCTGAATTTTGAGTGGGATGACAGTGAAACTTAGCCAACATTCATACTCCCATTTCTTTTAAAAATGAAAATATTATGAAGATTTTGTCATGCAAATCAAATGCTTATTGGTGCATAAATAAACAAGAAGTTCTGGGAAGAACTAACCATCTAATTCCCTTGATACGACATGGACCTCTCAGAAAACGACGCGTCCAACAACTCTTCTGTTGTTGCTTGTGTATTAGTTGCCGCGGAAAAGTTGTTACCAAACAGCTGACTAGCAAAGATAGGAATACGCGTACAGACACATAGATTGAAGGGAGCGATTTATGAAACATGTCGTTGAAATGGGCCTAGGTGCAATGATGTACCTACCAAGTTTCATAAAGACTGGTCGAGGTATTCAATAGTTAACAGCGGGAGGAACTACACAGACAGAATGGCGATCTCATAAGCCTACTTTTTTTTTCAAAATAAGGAAAGTGGGCTAAAAATGGAACCAACCCGAATGTATTAGTATATCGAATGGAATTTTTTACTTTTTACAGAATGGTTACCGTCATGTTGAATATTCTTAATGTTCAGGCTCAGAGGCTTGAAGAAGCTTTCAGTCTCTTCCGATATTTGTTACTAATCGCGAGTAAAGATATTCCTGTTTTCCGCAAACAAGAAGATGAGAATGAAAATATCACTTTCGCTGCTCTTACTTACTTACTCATGGAGCTGAGCCCTTCTGGAGGAACCGCCAATTCTGCAGCTACTCAAGAATTTCCCAGCATTTTATAGAACCCGAAGGTTCATTACCGTGTTCACAAGAGCCCTCCACTGGTCCCTATCCTGAGCCAGATCAATCCAATCCATACCATCCCATCCTATCTCTCTAAGATCCATTCTAATATTGTCCACCCACCTACGCCTTGGCCTTCCCTGTCGTCTCTTTCCTTCTGGCTTTCCCACCAATATCCTATACCCATTCCTCCTCTCCCCCATTCGTGCTACATGACCTGCCCACCTCATCCTCCTTGATTTGGTCATTCTAATTATACTTGGAGAAGAGTACAAGTTACTTTTGCTGCTCTACCAGACAGAAAAGGACATTCCTTACGAATACGTGTAGAAGGCCAAAAGTGTTCAAATAGTTGGCCCAGGAACTGTAACCTTAATGTTTCATTCGATATTAGTTCAATTAGATTGTCTTCATTGTTCAATGGGTAACGGGGGGGCTTCCCCTGGGGTAAAGCGGCCGGGGCGTAAAGCTGACCACTCACCTTCAACTATTGCCGAGGTCAAGAAAATATGGATTTATATATCCACTTCCCCATACGCCTTCATGGCGTAGTGCTTAATTTGTTAATCACAGGAAAACTTTACCTTTTACCTTACCTATTCAAGCTATGAGGAGAAGGAAATATTTGGGGGACGTAGGTAACTAGAAAAGAAGTGGTTCAGAATGTGGTCCAATAGCACGTAATATGTTTTACGAGCATAGGCTATCGTATCTTATATAAACTGATTTATTTGATTTTCTCAATGTAAACAATCTCCATGGCGTAACATATCCCGTGAGTAGCTGCTCAAGCGTAATCAAGTAGACCTAGACCTAACGACAAAAATCGGCGCGAACAAATTCCATGTACTTTCTCATGCCTTGGAAACGAAATCGATTGTTGTTCGGTAGACCGTTGTCAGACAAGCTTCCGTAACCATTTGGCCCCCTAGTGCGCACAACATTCTTGTCCTGATCATTCCACTTACGCGGTTTTATTTAGAGCGATGCTCTCCAGAAATTACTGAAATATCATGAAAATCATTGCAGCCGTTTTCTAGAAATTCGCCATTTTGTTTCTTGGAGGCCCATTTGGAGTGGGAGCCGGGATAGTTTGGTCGATGTGGCGACGGGCTACGGGTTGAACAACCGGGGTTTTATTCCCGGGAGCAGCAAAAGACTTTTCTGTTCTCCACAGCGCTCAGACCACCTCTGTGGCCCTCCCAGCTTCCTTACCAGTGGGTGCCGTCGTTCCTTCTATGGGGGTAAAGCTGCCGGGGCGTGAAGCTGACCACTTACCTCCAACAGGTGCCGAGGTGACATAAAAAATAAAGTAAAGGTATCCCTGAAACAGGCCGTGGAGGCACATAGCGTTGTGAGATGTTGAGGTTCCCACATTTTCTAGACAATCGGCTCATAGATGGTAAGTTTGTCAGCCTTACGCGCCGGCCGCCCTTCACCCCCAAGAATATTCCTGGTACTCATTTCTGTTAGAGGCTGAGTCGACCCCAGGGCCATAGTGTGGCCGGAAGGATTAGGTCAATTGAGAAAAATCCAATGACCTCATCGGGACTTGAACCCGCGACCTTCCAGCTTGTAACATAGTACCCCAATAGGTGAGATATTAACGATTTTGTTCAGTATCGCCAGGCGAATATCGGGATATACCTCGAAACAGGCCACAGATATATTCTCACAAATATTTATCTGTTTATCATCCATGATCATGTTTCCATCTCAACTGACGGTACAGACTCTACAGTTCAGTGGCGTTAGTATCCTAAGGGAACCATGTCTAGCTAACAAGTCCTGGAGTGTAATATTATTCTCCCAACTCCGCGTCTGTCCTCTAACCGGTCCCTTTTCTTTGCAGATATTCAGCCAAGCACAGGTTTACAGCCTGGAAATAGGATAGCTCAGTCCGTATAGTGACCAGGTAGGATAACCAAGGACTGGGTTTCCTTGGTGGGAAGAGGTTTTTCTCTTCTTCAAAGTTTCCAGACCGTTTCTGAGTCAGAGTTACTTTACGACTGGCGGTTTACCGCCAGTCAGTTTTTCTTGCCGCCAAGCCCCTTGAGACCCACGACCAATATCTCTTTCAAGTTAACACTTGCGGTCACAGTCCTTATGTAACATCCTCTCTGGCGAGAGGAAGGATGGGTTTGTCTCTCAAGAATAGGCTTCGCCTTTGAACTCAGACCGGTTCTGGGGCCCACCCAGCCATTTATGGAACGGTTGCGGTGGATTCTTTCCCCGGAGAAAAGCGATTAGGGGTAAAACAAGAATGGATGGAGCTATATCTCTACTCCCCTATACGTCTTCATCTCGTGTCTCTTAATTAATTAAGCACACAGATAACGATAACGTTATACATTTGTAATATGACGAAATACTTCTTCCGTTTGTTTTTACGTAGACATTCTGTGCGCAGGGCAGCAACATGTCGGCTGCCACGCCGTATGACCTAGATCCAGATCCACTCCACGATTTGTCCACCTTTCGCGCCCCTCTGTTCTCCTGCTTAGAGCTGCTCCACTTTGACATACTAAGCAAGGCATTTTGGAGTCTTCTTCTTTCAATGATTGAATAAGAAAAATACGTGAAGTGCGGTGGCCGCGCTGTACATAATGTGATCAGTCCACTGGTAAAAATGTACAATTAAGCTGGACAGCTCTTTCCCAATCATCTTCTCCTATTACAGCAGTAGCAAAGATCAAACTCGTTTTCTGTCCCACAGAGACTGCGCTCTACTCCTCGCGTCCCACAGTACTGCCTCTATTGTCAACATGTTTCCCTATGAACACAGGAACATGAAATACTGGAACGACCCTATTTCCGGTTGCGGTTAGACTTCCGGAAATGGTCATTATTTCTATTGTGCACTTTCAATAAGGATGTATTATAAAAACTTCTCTCATAGTTCTTATTTCGAATTTGCATGAATGAATTTGTCAATGTCTACAGTTCTCTGCGAAAGGGAAGTCTTGTTCCGCATGGATTATTTTTGTTCTGATGTCCCTCATGGTAGTTAACGGGGGTTACATGTTGCCAACCTTTGACTGTGGTACCTCCTTTTCCCTCATGCCACTTCAGTAATATGAGGACATAATTTTGAGAGAAATGACTGACGTGTGGTTCGTTCTCGGCCCTTGCGATTGACGGTTGGTTGTTGTTCTTGTCCTTGTTAGTTCATGCATTGACACATGACCGAAAATGAACGAAAGGCGAATTACTTACTTACTCGCTCTTTGAGCTGAGCCATTCTTGAGGAGACGCCAATTCTGCAACTACTCAAGAATTTCCCAGTATTTCATGGAATCCGAAGGTCCATTACCGTGTTCACAAGAGCCCTGGTCCCTATCCTG